AGAGTTTGGCGCGAACGGGATCAGAAGGGCCCCTGGTCTCGTAGCCAAGAACAGTTCGAACCCGAACGACCGCGCGGGAGCGGAGGCGAACCAAACGCGGGAGGAGAGGGGAAGGAGGGGAGCACATCTGCCAGCGGCCCAGCTCGGCTGCGCGCTCCCGCCGCGCTGCCGGCGACTGGGCCAAGCGCCCCTCCTGCTGCCTCGCAAGCCCCGTCAAGGGCGCCAGCTCCTCCTGATGCGAGCCAGCGCGGGGCGTCGAGGCCGGGCGGCGGGCGAGAAGCCTTCGGCTCGGGCGAGCTGCAGGCTCCGGGGCCACTCGCCGCCCCGCGGTCGGCACCTCCACCAGCGCGAGGGAGCTGGGCGTCAGCTGCCTTGTCTCTCGCCGCCCGCTTGCCCTCAAAAACCCTGCTGGCGGCATCCGCCGGGCTGAGCCCGGACGGCGTCCAGCGGTCAGCCGCGACGGGCCACTGGCCCAGCTGGAGGGCGCGTCGCCTCCTGCGCAGCGCGAGAAGCTGCCGGCCCGTTGCGCGACCCTTGGAGTGAGCCAAACTTGGATTAATATTGTCGCCGCATCAGAGAACCCTGTTCGCTCGTCCTGAGCGCGATTTGCAGAAACGTCTCAGGCACCACAAAGGAGCGCGGCACTCTTCCACATGGATCTGTTCGTGTCCCCGAGCCCCCCCGCTATAGACATGCCCCCAAGAGGGCCCCTGAATCCACGCGCCAAGAACGTCCTGGAAGCCAGGGCCCCCCCCCCCCCCCCCAGAGCTCGCACGCCGAGCTGCAGCCCCGATCGCCGCGATTGGATCTGAGGGGGGGTGCAAGACCGCCGTGCCCTGGGCCCGTTCACGGTGACCCCCAAAGACCAGCGCGTCTGATTCTGAAGCGCCCCGCCAACCCCCCCACCACCTGCGCCCTCGCCCCCTCCCACTCCGTCTGCGCAACTCCCATTCCGGCCGAGGGCGCCGCGGCAAACGCAGTTCGACCGCGCGAAGAGGCATCGAGCGGCAGGCGGCCTCAAACTCGGCAACAACGCTCGGCCACAAGGTTCGCTCAAATTGATGGCAACAGCGGATGAAGCGGTAGGCAGCACCAAAGACCGACAGCAACGGGCGACGCATCAAGACGGCGAAGGTGAGATGTCCCACGAGCTAATCCAATCGCGCACCACTCAATCTCTCTCTGCTCAGAGCCCACTGAGGAGCTCCGCGCAGGCGGCTGCGCCGCCTCTCACTCCCACGCATCGCCCCTCTTACCCAATCGATAACCGCTCCGAGTGCCCCATCCCCGTGGATATATTCGGTCAGCCCGTGCGCCACCAAACCGAAGTCGTCAACGGCCCAGGCCGCGGCCTCCCAGACCTCTTGATCCTCGTCCGCCTTCAAGCCCAGGACCCCAACAGTGTCAACATGCACGCGTAATGAGCCAAATTCACCCCCTGGTGTCAAGCACAATTTGGCACGAGCGGCTCTCGAAAGCATTTTCGGGGATCAGGCGAGGAAACTTATACGCGGTGTTCTGCGCGACCCTCTGCGCGAAGCATAAGCTACATGAAAATCCCATCGGTGACGCCCTGAGGCACGGAGACACAAACTCGCCATGGGCCACCGAGGCCCCCCCCCCGCAAGCCCGATCCCTGGCGCCCCAGCTTCAATCGGAGGGGGGCCCACAAAAACTCGCACAGAGGGCCGTCGATGCAGGCGCATGAAAGAAATTGGAAAATACCCCTTATATCAAGGTCTCTTTGGACCCCGCCTCGGCGCAGGCAAAATTCTCGCAGTCACCTCCGCAACTCCAGGGGGGGGCCTGAAATCTTGATTCGCAGCGCGGGCGTCGACTGCAAGGCGGAACCGGCCGTCTTTCTTGGCGGCAGAAAACGGGGCGCACTCCGCCCGGCGCTGCCGGCGCCAGGCGGCGCCTCTGCGACGCAACTCACTCGTAAAACCTACGTAGGCACGGCTGCCCCCTCGATGCCGCGGGCCCATGTAAGGCTCCGCGGGTAGGTCAGACCTCCCCTCATCCTCATCGCGGAGAAAGTCGATCGGCAATTGTTCGAGCATCGAGCGCTCTCGCTCGCCTGGCACTTCAGCCGCCAGAAGGCAGTCGGCTGCGTGGGCTGGCGCGCATCCTTCGCGAGCGGGCGCGCCGGGCCGCCAGGCGGGCCGCGGCCCGCTTTGTGCCGGACAAGCGAGCTTGCCGCATCAGCGCACGCATCAAAAGTGGCATCCGCGCAGTGCGACGCGAGGAAGTCCACGTAGTTGCATGCGACCTCCTCCTGCACCTCGCGAGGGGGGCTCCCATCGACAGGCGGCGCTGCGCCCGCCATCCAGTTCAAAGCCTCGCACGCCTCTCTCACCACCTTCTGCTGCTTCCCGCGGGCCCGCGCGCGCTGAGAACAACTCCGGGAAAACCTCGCCTGGGAACCTGGGGCCCAAGCTAGCGCGCCCACGCATCGCCCAATGGCGCTCCATCTCAAGCCCGCGACTGGAAAAGAAAGCCAAAACTGCGGCGGCACTGCGCGTCAAGCCAGAGCGCGTCTGGTTCCTCGCCCACTGTTGAAGTAGAAGCTGGGCGGCCCCTCCACTCCTCCTGAGGCAGCCCCTTGTCGACGCCAGACTTCCCTCCGCGAAGCTTGTGGGCCTCTCGCGCTTTCTCGCGCTGTCTGTCGACCTCTGCCTTGTCCTTGAGTCTGGCGGCCACGTGGCTTTGCAGAGCGGGGGCGATGCCTCTCACCCTGCGCCCGAGCCCCACGAAGTGCTCGGAGCCCTTCCCAGACGGCGGCGCCTCCGCCTGAGTTCTCGCCCATGATCAGCTGGATCCTGCGGCCCGCGAGCTCCGTGCAGGACAGGTTGCCCATGTTCAATCGGTCAATTGTGCCAGCTAGTTCCACGACGTTGGGAAGTGCCTCGAGCTCGCGGGCGCCGTGGTCGTTCTCGGCAATCTTCATGTCCCGCACCGCGCGCGTGAAGAAAGCGGCGGGGCCCCCTCCGTCGAGGCGAATGCGACGGCAGAGCGCAGAGCCACGCCGCGGTCCTAGGTCCCATCAGCAGCCAATCCGAAAAGAAAAAAAAAAAAACTCTTCTCGCTGAGGCTCCCCACCGCGCTGTCCCAGGAGCGGTGGCGCTCGTTCATGCGGTTCCACCCCACGGAGGGCGTGCGGAGGTCGTCCTCGTCGTTGTACCTCTGACCTCCACGGGGCGCCCCAGCGTCAAGGCCTCGGACCGCGCCGCGCTCCAGCTTCCCCTCCGGCGCCAGCATCAGCACCAGCGGCTTTCCCGCGTGCTGAACTAGGGGGCGATCGCCGATCACGTTGGAAGCGGCAGGCGCCTCCTATCAAGCTGGCCGCGCGATGCCGCGCCGCTCCTCGGCGGTCACCCACACGCCCAGCGACCGACCCACCGCGAACCCAGTGTCACTGGCGGGCCCAAGAGGTGTTGCTGCTTCCCCTTCCCGAGGCGTCGGTGGCCCTTGGGCAGGCGGCAGCGGCGGAGGGGCAGCCAGCGCCGCGATCGCCAGGCCAGCGTTCGGCACCAGCGGCAGCCCTGGCGGGGGGAGGTGACACTGCCGAGCCAGGGCGCCCCTGTGGGCTCCGAGCTCGTGGGGCAGCGGCACCTGACGGAAGCGCTGTCGGCGGAGGCGCCGATCCTCCAGGTCGCCGCCTTGCACGCCGTTAGGCAATCGCATCCGGGAGGCCACGTCGGACAAATCCCACGTCTCCAGGTAGCAGTCGCCATCCCGCGTCAGGACGCCCACCTGCTCTGTCCCGCCGTCGGGGAGGTTGACCGCGCAACGCTCGTGACGCAAGCCGCGCGGTCTGCAGTTGAACTCCATCACCAAGAAGTCCCCCTCCTGCAAGCCGAACCCCTCAGCGAGCGGATGCGCCATCGCGTCGAGCTCGAACCTTCTCGAGCTCGCGCGCGGGCCTCCTCCTCAAGCGACAGCGCCGGCGCTGGCTCCTCACCCGCTGGCGGTGGCCCGATGGACGGCCGCGCCGCAGGCGCGAAGGGCGGGGCCGCCTCGCGGGCCCGCTGTCGGGCGCCGCCCACGCCGACGAACACGGCGGGCGTCACCAACAAGCCGCCCGTCAGCACGCCGCTGCCGAAGGCGGCCAGCAAGGGGTCCAGCATGCCAGGGCACTCTGGCGCCAACGAGCAGGGCGCGGCCAGCGGGCAAGCGGTGAGCCGATCTGGCCCGTACCGTTGGAGTTGCTGGCCCAGCAGCTCGAGGACGCCCTCGTCGGGCGCAGGCGGCGTGCAGTCGCACACGCACGTCGGGTGCCGCACCGACGACGCCAACAGCGAGCCCAGCGCCGCGTACCCCAGCTGCAGTGCGTGCTCCATGCACTGCCCGCTGGGGGGAAGGCACTCTGTCCAAGCTCCTTCAGGACGAGCTTGAGCAAACACGTTGACGACAGCACGAAGGCCAGAAAAAATGCATCCGCCAAGGCTCCTCGGGCTTCTGAGCCATTTGTATATCGTGAAAGTGTCGAATGCGCCAAACTCTCCAGGAAACCAATCACTACCGTCGTCGCACATACATGGCGTCTTCTCCCCGCGAAGGGACGGACAGAGCACGGCGGGCAGCAGCCAAGTGGCAGCAGCCAAGTGGCAGCAACGGCTGGGAGCCCCTTCGCCAGGAAGAGCCCCAAAGGGGGGGTCCGAGGGGGGGGGGACGGCGAAAACAAGGCGTGGGGAGGTGGAGGACGAGAACGGGGAGGAGGAGGAGGAGGAGGAGGAGGAGGAGGAGGAGGAGGAGGAGGAGGAGGAGGAGGAGGACGAGGAACACTAGGACGAGGAACACGAGGAGAACAAGGAGGACGACCCTGGGACCGCTCCTGGGGTGCATTCTGGCCAGAATTTCGAGCTGGACCCGACCGGGGCCGCGACAGGCCCCCAGGAGGCTCAAAGAAAAACAGAGTTGGCAAAGAAGGTTGTCTACAACGCCGCCGAGCGAACGCCGGACAGGTCTAGTCGGCGGGCGCCCCAGGGGACTCCTGCGGCTCACCAGTCGTCGCCGAAGAAGTCGCCGCCGTCGTCCCCGCCGTCCGCCTCGAGCGTGGCAGGCCACGGTCCTCCTCCTCAACCCCCTTCTCCCCTTTTGACGCTAGACGAACGCTGATGTCTAGGGCCCCCCCCCATTCTCCACTTCCGGTGGCGTCTGAATCTCTCTTTTCTCTTTCTGTCCCTGCTCCTCCTCCTGAGGAGGAGGGCGAAGGGGGGGAATAGAAGGAGGGGGGAAAGAGGAGGAGTAGGAAGAGGAGGAAGAGGAGGAGGAGGAGGAGGAGGAGGAGGAGGAGGAGGAGGAGGAGGAGGATTGATTTGACACGTCGCATCGCGGAGGATAGGACCAACAACACAAAGAGATAGTCCCCAGAGAGCCCAGACCCTAACGGGAACGAGGCCCCAGAAACTAACTAACCCTCCACGCCACCAGTCGAAGCCACAGAATCACCACAGTCCACTGCACTGGTCAGGTCAGCAAAGAGGCACCAGCTCATCGAGCGGCACATCCCCTCTCTTGTGGTCGGGATGGATACCTCTGAGGATTCTGCTAATATTGCTCCTCAGGTGGGCCGAGGAAGGCCCGCCTTTACAGGCCTTGCAAGGGCCCCCGGGTTTCACGCCCTCGCTAACACTACCACAATCCGTACAACAGGACAAAGCCACTCCATCAGCAGTGCCAACGACATGGACCACGTGGCCCTGGGTCGCCTGCGCTAAGGCGCTGACAAGGTGATTATTACAGCCTAGACATTTGGCAGAGGGCTCTGGCGGGTCGGAGCGCACGCGGATCAAGCAGCAGGCCCGCACGCCGCGGATCCATCTGAATTGATGGCCTCTCACCTCCACAGGCAAGGGCCTCGACCAATAGCCCTCCCAGACATCGGGAGGAGAAGGGGGAGGGGGAGGAGGAGGGACCCCGCGACTGGCGGGGGGGGAAGCTTCAACCCCCAAGCAAGCCGCTCCCAGCACCTCGGCTGCAGCGCTGACGGTGGCGGCGCGGCCTCTGACAGTGGCGCGAGCGGGGGCAGTGGTGCTGGCGTTGGCAGCATTGGAAGCGCCTGCCCTACCCAACCTCTGGCTGGGTCTGGCTGGCGCAAGCTGGAACCATAGCAATATGGCTCGTGCTACAAAAATCAAGAACTGCTTCACGCAACTGGTCCGAGGGCCGATTTCGGACACCTAATTTTCCGAGGGTCTGCACTGGAACATTGCCGCCGCCTTCGCTTTGCGCCATTCACGCGAGAAGCGCTCACTGCTGTCAATCGTCGAATGGGCTTTCACCTTTGCCACGGCAACTGAATTTCTTCTTGGGGGGCAGCTCGGGGCAAGGAGAACGGGCCCAGCATAATATGATCTTCGGTCAGCAACCACTCCCAATGCCTGTTTTTCACTCGCAGCTACCAGCCCTTTTGTTGCCGGTGCAGAGCTCAGAAGCCGAGCGCGCGCGCGTGCAGCCAGCCAAGAAAACAACATGTTCCGACGCAGGGCTTGACTGAGGTAACTTGGCGCCAACTCTTCCAGGCAATGCAGCAGAGGGCCCCCCCCCCCCATCGCCCTGGATGCGCAGGCAAGCCCAGCATGCACGATGGTGGACTTTGCGACCTTCTTTATAGCACGAGCCATCGTGATAGCATACTGTAGCCTTGAAAGCTTCCAAAAGGGTCAGGGCGGGGTCAACGCAACTGAAGGAGAGACCCCCATGCCCGAAACCTTCAGGTTGTCGCAGCAGTCGCTCAGGCACCACTTGAAAACCCAGCATGATAAGGTTATTGCACTCTCCCCTGCTGGTCATTTCAAGGACCGCATCCTCAAACAACTCATCTCTAACAGCCCGCGTTGCTTGACATCCGAAACTGCGATCATGGAGGCCATCCCGAAGGCGAGGACAAAAAAACACCATGTACATATTCCACCATGCGGCCCAACCGGGCCAGTCTTCACTTGAACCACAAGCCCTGAGTGATGAGAGCCCCAAGCAAGGCGCGTTCGGGCTGCGACGACACGCCGCTGGGATAGAGCAGCTGCTTGCGCACCGAGACGTCCAAGATCCCACTAGGGTGGCCCAGCTTCAACGAAGCCTTCAGAGACAAAACCTGCATGCAAGCAGCCCGAAGATCACGCGGCACTTCGGCAGGGGAAGTCGAGGTAACAACTACTTCCTGGCCCACGTGGCCCTGCCAGACAGAGGGGTTGATGAATTTCCAAGACGCCCTCTGAAAAGAAACTACCGCTGCCCCAAAGGGCCCTTCTACCAGGTCCCAAGTCCGAGGTGGATGTTCCCAAATGGGCACGGCGAGCTCTCTCAGCCGCGGCAACGAGGGTTCGAATCCAAGACGCGTCGCGGCTTTCTCAACTAGGCTTGCCCGGGCAATCGCGGGCCCCAGCGCTGGGCGACACGCGGGGCCCTGGCGGGCGAGGAGGGTCTAGGCGCTGGGCCTGGATGGGCGCGGCCCCCCCGCAGATTGCAAGAAAAAAAGACTGCGCAGATGCAGCGCCCCTCGCGCCCAACGCCGCAACCTCGGCCCCATGATGCCCAAACTGCTGGAGGCCGCCGAAAAGCAACCGCTGCGCGTCTGCGCCTCCCTTCGTTTCTGTAGCAGTCGTCTCTCGCGGCATTGGCGCTTCTTTGTGCGACCTCCCAGCAGAACAGCGACCTCATCTCTGCATCTGAGCTGGCCCCCAGCGGCGCCAACTCCCAGGTCAGCTGCCGATCGATCTGTACCGCGACATACTTGCCCCAGCAACGGACTTCGAGATTGCGATTTCGCGCTTCAGCTCATCCTGGATGGCTTGAACGACTCGTGCCAAGCTTTCCACAGTTCTGTTTGCAAGACGCCCGGGGTCCGAATCCTGGTTCAAAATCAGCCGGGCAACGATGAAAATATACAAGCCGACACCAACTGCCCCGCTGCAAAGATTAACCGCTGGATCGAAGGGGCAGCCCGCCAAATCCCTTGGACGGGGAGACTGGACTCCAAGGCGCGCACGCCAAGCTGAAGAGATCTCTTTGCCCGATGCATGTCGAGCACCGCTGCTATCACCTGCATATCAAACCCTGCGGCCTCCGCTCTAGTCCAAAGAAGAGAAAGGCCAATGTGATCGTCGCAACTGCTCCTGTCGCACAAAACGCACGAGGTGGGAACCGCCCGGTTAGTCGAGCTAGCCGATTCTGCACGAAAATTTCGCACGAAGACGAATTCCAATATCGAGGCGCCTTTGTGATGATGGAGGCAACTATGTCGATGCGAACGCTCCCGCGATCTGGCTACGACCTGACGAAGCCCGCCGAATACCCGATACAGCGACACGCAAAGTCCGATGCCACGTAGCTTGGCGCGGCCTGGCCTGTGCTTCGGAATAAGACCAGTGACCGCAGCCTGCAAGACCGATGGGGAACTGGCCGCGTTGCTCGACGCACCTGACAAGTCCGGCAACCAGTTCTAATTGCTGATCCGAGCACATCAAATAATGTCTAGGGTGGAAGCCATCATATGGCTGGGAAGTTTCTGCACTGAACGCCGGACAAATATTTCTCAAATATTCCGACGTGGCAAGAGAAACGGCAATCCGATCCTTCGGCTCTACTTCCCAAGGGAAGGGGGGAGAGGGGGATCCGCGCCAGGGCTGCCCCAGCCTATCCGCCTCCACCATTGGGAGGCGCTGGCTGCCCAGTCCACTGGCCGCGGCGCTGCTGCGCCGCCCCAGGCTTCCAGACGTCCTTCCACGTGGTCCACTTGTGCATCCAAGAGAGGCTAGAGCTGCCGTCACTGACTACCCACTCTTTCCAGGACTTAAGGTCCAGCATTTAAGGGGGGTCTGGGTGCCCTTTGAACACTCAGCCTTCGTGGCCGCCCCAAGGTCCTTCGGGGGGGCCCCCAGAATGCTTTCAGCGACTTTTCTGTTCAGGGCATGCTCGCCTAAGTCCTGGAGCATCGCGCGCGGGATAATCTTAGCTCTTTCAAGAAGCCAACAAGAGTAGGCGCCGATCTGAATTCCGAGCTTCCAAGACTTCCAGCGACGTTCGAAGCGCCTCTTCCTGATGTTTACTGCCAGCTACCGGCTGCGCCCACTTTTCGATCCAGCGGCGCAAGGTGCGATTTCCAAAACAGCCTCAAGCTCCCGCGATGAATTTCGAGAGGGACGTGGACAATTCTGGCGCGACGTGCCCTCTGAGAGACTGTCTCCAGGGCGGCGTCTGTCATCCTGCCGATGGCGCGCTCGAGCTCCACGGCGAGGCTTCCGCGCGCGCCGTCCAACGCCGCTTGGCGAGCCTCGAAAATGGAACGACAGGGGGCGCTGCTGGGGCCCTGCACAACACCAGTCACTTCTTCAAGCTTCGAAACCGGGTCTTCTAGAACTTCCCAGAGGAAATTCTCGAGAGACGGCCCGCAAGGCTTGGCGCGAGGGATGCGCTGACACTTGCACATCGCACGAATCGCGCGCTGCTCATCTGACCGCGCGCGCAGAGACACTGGGCAACGCGGGGGGGCGGGGCGCGCGGTGACAATGCCAGCAAGCACATGAGAGAGCACTAAGAAATCGGCGACAGTGTTCGCCTTGGGCTCCACGCAGGTAGGTCTCGGAGGTATTGCAGCGAACATATCAGCTCTAACCAAAAGCTTAGTTGTCTCCAACTCGCGAGCTTTCACGTTCCAGCCCCTGCAACGAGCACCGGCAACTGAACGTGTTCCTGAAGGTCTGCAAGATCTTCCAAGAGCGCGCTTGGTTCGCGTTGTTCAAGCCTACTTCCGTCTGCATGTAGATCGAAACCAGACTGGTTTTGGGCAGCCCAGGGACTGCAATCCTGATCGCGGGCATACTATATGGCATAAAAAACAATGGATGCAGGACTGGCGCCAATGCCGAGGTCAGCTCGAATCAAAATTGCAGCGCCACCAGAAGGCGCCCCATACCCATGGAGCCGCTTTCGAAAAAGAAGCCAAGCCAACCGCGGGCATAATACCATTCCATAACAGACTGGATTGCGTCATCACGTTTCAAGAGCGCTCGTTTCCTGCAGGAGCAAAATAAAGACCTCGGGGAAC